GTGGGCTGGAGCCTTGCCCCACTCTCAGAAGGACCTGTGACCTCCCAGGGGAGAAAGAAAGAATCCTCGAGACCTGCTTGGCCTCGGGCTCCAGTGGTCACCAGGGGCCCAAGGCCTCTGGGGATGAGAAACTCCCTCCCTCTGGGTTGGAGCAGGGAGGTGGATGTGTGGTGATGCCGCTTGGATGCCAGGGTTGTCTGGACTGACCCAGCCTTTCTGCACAGCTGGCCTTCTGGTGCCACACAGTTCTGGCTCATTTTAATACAGGGAGCACTGAACTCCACCATGGGCTGACTCGGGCTTCCCCAGGGTGCTTCTGAGGGGAGGCATGTTCCTGTCAGCAGAATGGAGGCTGGGGGTCTTGGGGGGAGGGGAGGGCTCATGTGCAGAAGTGAGGTATTGGCCAACCGGTGCTCAGTCAGCTCATTTAGAGGAGTGAATGGACTGTGGTGGGCCAAAGGGCTGGATACATGAAGGAGTGTCCCCCAAAAGACAATCACTCAATCAGAAGTCGGGAACTTTGGCCCAAGCCTGAAACTGGGGTAGATGCAAATCAGAAGAGAATGCCAAAGCCCAGAGGAGTGACAAGCAGGCTGCTGAGCTGGGGAGAGGGCTGTGCCTTTGGCCCCAAGGCCATGCTGGGTGGGCCTGGGCTGCTCAGAACTCCTGGGCTGGGGGCCGAGCCTGCACATCGAGAAAAACAAAAGCCACCGCTTCAATCCTGCAGCTGATAGGAAGGCCCAGTGGGTGCAGGGGTCTAAAGGGAGCCCTGGGTGCAAGTGAGGCTGGGGTTCTGGTCCCAGTTCTGACCGTCCGTATGGTGGAGATGGGGGACTGCAGGAAGTTGTGTCCTTCCTTTTGCAATGTCTGTAGTGACATCAGGGCACTCAGCTGTGGCCTGGCTCCCTCCCAGGCCGTTGAGAGGATGCAGAGAGAAAACACACAAGGCCTGCCCTGGGCGGTGGGCTCAGCTGGCTGAGCATCATCCCATGCACCGAGAGGTCTCCAGTCGATTCCCGGTCAGGCCACATGCCCAGGTTGCAGGCTCCATCCTCAGTGAGGGGCGGCAGGAGGCAGCCAATCGATGTTTCTCTCTCCCTCTCCCTTCCTCTTTCTCTAAAATAAATAAAAACAATTTAAAAAGGATAAAACACACAAGGTCCTTCCTAAGCCTCAACCAGGAGGGTGAAGGTTATAATCAGGGCGAAACCTCTCTAACCCCTTCAGGGTCGTGGAAACTCAGGCTCATTTGTCTGGCGATTGGCTTCGGGGCTCGGAGCCCCTGCCAGCCCTGCCCAGGCAGCCCCCACGGCACTTCATCAGCCTCACGACAATGGCCCCTCGCCTTCCTGAGCCGATCCTTTTACTTAAACTCTGCTTTTGGTGCCGTGCAGGACCTTGCTGTATGTCCTCACGCTGCAGCAGACCCCACACTGCTGGGCAGTGAAGGCGCTGCTAATGGTGAATGAGGGAGGGAGGTCACTTGTGTACTTGACGTGCTTCTCCTGTCTGGCGGAAGCTCCAGGAAGGGAAAAGAAAGGCTGCTGTGTCTTGTCCTGGATCCAGGGTTGCGCAAGGAGAAATCGCCCAGCAACTCCGGGGCCACCCCGTCATGGCTCCCAGCCTGGCAGAGGCCTGACACTGAGCAGGCCCTCTGAAAACAGGCTTGAGGGTTTGGGGAGAAGGGATGGGGATAAGGAGCAGGGGAGAGGTGGGGAGAGAGGAGCAGGGCGCTGAGGGAGAGCAGATGATGATGTGGATGATAAAAGTCAGCCGGTATTTCCCAAGCGTCCGCTGTGTGCCAGGGGCTGTGCTGGCGCTTCACACAGGTTCTGGTGCGATGGTACACCAGGAGGCCGGAACCACTGCACACGTGGTGCAGCTGCCACAAGAGGTGGGGGACCTTTCCCAGGGCACGTAGCTCCTTCGTGGCAGAGTCAGGGCTCAGACCTGACCCCGTGGCATCTGCCGCCCAAGGTTGTCCTGCTTTCTGTCGCGCAGGGAGCCTGGCAGTGGGGGCCCACGGCCTGCGTTTGGGAGCAACGAGGCGTCTCCCTGTTCTCCCTGGTTTCCTGGCCATGTGTCCCAGGGGAGCAGCTCCGGGAGGGGCCTAGAGAGCTGGCATGTGTCAGCCAGGCCTGGCCCTTCCGGGCAAGGGCTGCATGCGGGAGGGGTTGGCAGCGGCTGCCTAACTCCCGGCCTCTCCCTCTCCTGGGGAACCCACCGAACAGGTCCTTGCTCTCCATAGTGAGGGGGCAAAGTGACGGATGGCTATAGTATTTGCAGAGTCCCCAGCCCGCTCCACACCAGCTCCGCCCCGCCCCCTGCCACACACACACACACACACACACACACACACACACACACATGCACGCGTGCATACACACACCTCATAGACAGGACGGAGCCTCACAGCCCAGGGGTCTCTTCCTGCAGAAGCAAATCTTCCATGTTTGGAACTTCCTAGGAGCAGCAGCAAGCGTGAAGGGAAGACGGTGCTAAGGGGTTACAGGTCAGAATGTGTTCTGTCCCTTCTGAGCCTCCCTCCCGCTGTCGGTATTTCCCACGGCTGCCTGCCTTGGAGGCTGTTGTGACGATAAAAGCCGACGGGCATGTGATGCCTGGCACCGCGTGGATGCTCACAGGGCAGGTGACAATGAGGAGGAGGCAGTGGTGCTGGTGGAGACAGAGGATGGAGAGGGGCCTGGGGCAAGCAGGCCACTGAAGCCCCCTGTGGTCTGTCCTCCAGCTCAGGAGAAGCTCTGTGGGAGTTTCAGAATGAATCACACTCATCCCTCCCTTTCCTCCCAAATTCCTTTCCTTCCAAGTCCTTGTCCCTGTGTCTGTCTTTTTTCTCGTCTCTCTGTCCCTCTGCCCATCTCTCCGCTCTGTCTCCCTGTGTCTGTGTGTGTTCCTCGCTCCCTACTGCCCCCCCCCCCAACTCTCTCCTTTGCTTAATCATCTTAATCATTGTGTCCTTGTAACTCAGCCATGGCTGTCTGGCGGTAGCAACACCCCACGAGGTGACAACCCTGAGTCACACACACATTTGGATGCCAGTGTGGTGACTGCCAGACCCTGGACTTCTTCTTAGCAAGCCCCAAACTCCCCTCTGGGACTCTGACTCCTGAACCCTGGTAACCCTTCCTAGCTCTGCTTCTGTTGGGGGGTGGGAGGATGGAGAAGCAATCCCCCACTCCCCACCAGTATGCTCACTGGGGCAAGGCAGACCAGTATGCTCACTGGGGCAAGGCAGCTTCAGGGGGGTGGGGGTGGGAGGACTATGTCACACTCCTTTCTGGCCCTGTCTTCATCCATTGCCTGAATCAGCCAGCACTGGAGGTGATGGTTGGAAGGCAAGTTCCAGGGTCCCACCCTCAGGCATACTGCATTCTAACAAGTGCACCGAAGTCAGATTGCATGGCCCCTTCCCCTTCCGGAGGTGACCAGCCCAGCCCAGGCCTCTGCCCCTGAAGCAGGCAGGCCACGTGCCCACTGCAGCCCACACACCCAGCACCTCATCCCATTCACAGGATGTGCCAACAGCACCCTCTCCTGGAAGCTCTGGTTTTTGGAGAGTCAAAATCCCATAGCTTTTGTTGACTGTACCTAGTGCCTCTGAGAACCTAGTTGGAGAGCGAAGTAAGGGGAGGCAGAGGGGCAGGGCCTCCTGGAGGGTCTGTCCTGAGCCTGCGAGGGACCCTGAGCTGAGAGTGGTCACAGGCAGTGCAGAGAAGCACCTGTCCCAGGAAGCCAGGGTATGGAAACGGCTCCTGTGAGCTCACCCTGCCCTTCTTCCTTCCTCCTGTGCTACTGCGTGTGTGTGTGTGTGTGTGTGTGTGTGTGTGTGTGTGTGTGTACGCCTGCGCATTGCTCCTGGAGAAGGGCGGCTTTGTTTATTATGGCTGTAACCTTGACTTTTGGGTAGGGCAGGACAGTAGCACTCTTTGGAGCCTGGAGCAAAGAATTTAATATTCATAAGTGACCTCGCCGTAAATGGACTCCAGCACCCCGAAGGACTCACAGCCGATGCCCCCTGCCTCCTCCCACAGTTGCCTCTCTCAGAGGTCCATCAAAGCCTCAGGCAGCAGCTCCTGCCTGACTGCCCACAATGTCCCCAATCCTGTCCTGGGCTCTGGCTCCTCCATGCCTCAAGGTGCCCCACCTGCCCACATAGGGGGTCTGTATGGGGTGAGGGCACCAGGTGCAGGGTGAGCAGGGTGGGGTTA